ATGTTTTAAATGTTAGCCCATATTAATTAATTTATTTAGTTAAATTGAAAAAAATAATTGCTAAATATAAAACTAGTCACATTTTAAAATCACTTGATGACACTAAGAAAGCCACCCTGCAAAAAGCATTCTAGATTAACAGCCTACCAGCAGAGTACTTGAGCTCATCATTACTAACTTTTAAGTAAAATTTTCCTCAACAAGACAGTGAACAGTGATAACAAAAGGCTGGTCACTTATGTACCCCTTTTGTTCTGTGTCATTGAGCAAATTGATCAGTTTTTCCCTTGACAAACTGTATCTAGTTATGTTATAAAGCCTATTCTTGTATGAGTGAATTAGTTATTATTAATGTTTTGAGCATAGTAATGAGTTTAAAAAAGTCCTCTAAATATAAAAAATATTATAGCTTATTTCACACATATTAGCAAATATTTCTGGGTTTTGGAAGATAGGTTAGAATTAAGTGGAATTTTAATGCTCACAGTTAATTCACATCAATCTTATGACACTTCTGTGCACACTTTTCTTCTTCAGCCTTAAGAGTCCTTATTATTTCAGTATCCACATCCTTATATGATGCAGTTGTCCAAGACGCTGGAGGCAAGCAACCATCAAAAGAATTTCCTGGTAAGTCAATTTGCCTGACCATAAACTATATCAGCCTTGGTTTCACACTATGCTATGATATCTTCAATCCTGGTTACAGTGCTAAAGGGACGATTAAAGACTAGATCACCAACAATGACGAGTGTGTGTCTCATTGTAATTTATTTGAATATTTTATCTTTCTTTTTTGCTACAGAACTCCTATTAGTAACCATAGATAGCGTAAGGATTTTACTCGTTTCTTAACAGTCATAGGGGAAAACTGAGTGCTAATTCTGATATAAATATATTTAATTATAAAGTACATGTATAATGGCATAAAATGGTGTGAACATACTTTATATAAAGAGATACAAAAAATTGTGCTCTATATGTGTAATAAGAATTGTAATGCATTCCACTGTTGTCGTGTATTAAAAAATAATAAAACAAATAAATAAATGAGGATTCTGATGAGTAATACTTCAATTTGTTTTTAAGTAATAAAATAATTGACATATTCCAACCTTTATTAATTGGTTAAAATATAATATTATTCATTGTTTTTAAAGTTAAAAATATCCAACTGATACAATTAACTTGAAATAAAATTTAATCTCACATAAATAGGTAGAAATGTGAGTCATTGATGGAGATAAAAAATTCTTAAAGTTCAGAATAATGCTGAATAAAAATGAAATATTTTCTTTTATGTTCATTAAATTAAAATTCAATATATAAGGATGATTTGTATATATTATCTTGATTGTGAACTTCAAGGGCTATTGATGGCTTAAATATAATGTGAACATTTACTTTCGGTTTAAAATAATTAACATCAACATACATCTATCCTCTTCAGCAAATCATGGGTCTGAAAAATTTAACTTTATTAGGATAGTAAAGATTCATAGGATATCTAATGATATCTTTTGCTTTGCTTTTGTTTTTCATTAATTCTCCCTATTAAAAAATGCAGCTAAGAGACAAAAACATTCTAAATAAAAGACTATAAAGACTCTTTCTTATGTTTTCTTCCAAGGTGTATATACACAGGCTTTGGGCCACCTGTTTGTGCTAATATTATCTGACTACAATCCTTAACCTTGTTATTTTCTTAATTTGGTCAATGATCTTTACTGTACATGTTTCTTCCACCGGCATGCTTCTGTGTACCTTAAACTGTCTTTTTTTCTCTAAATAATGTTTTGTATGATATTAGTTTCTCATTTTCTTCTATTAATTTATCCGATCTGTACTATATACTTGCTTATTTGCTTTTGGATTTAAATAAACCTGAATTTGAATATTTTGATCTGTTTTTTTTTTCATTAATGTAAAATTTTTGAGTAGTCTTCTTTATCTAATCAACTGGTTATTAATTCTATCCTTTACTTCCATTACATTAGCACTTCTTGGATAGAGTCAGCACCAAGGGATAAAGTTCTTATGGCTCACCAGCTGAATTAGCACTCAGATCACCAAACCTCAGTTTTCTCTTCATTAACATGGGAGTGATAATTACACTCACATAATGGTTGAAGTTTCAGCATTATGTAAAAAATGATTATTGTAAAAACATCACATAATGCTTCAAACATGGCAAACCTTTATTAAATAGTAATAAGTCTTTCATTAAGATTGTTGCTCTATTTTGAGTGCAAAAAAGATATATTCAGGGTTATTAATACATTGAACTCAATCATATAGCAAAACTTTTTATAAGGGTAGTAAACATTCTAGGTGCCTTATCATGGTTACTCTAGATTATCCCTCATTCTTGAAACTTAGTACTGAAGTCATGTACAAGCAGAGACCCAGCAAGACAAGAGTGACTTTTACCTTTTGAGGCCATAGCAGTCAATTGCAAAGATAAGAAACGCAAACAATAGGACATCCAAACCAATACTGATATCATAGCCTTTTGCTGTGAAAAGCAATAAGCATGAAACAAAAAAAAAAAAGATCTAGTTTTCATGCAACGCCATGTTCCTATGTAAGTGTGCTAGGAGTACTGGCATGCCAAGAGATCAACACATGGATAACTCTTTGAAATTGAGACCCTAGCCAAAGTACTAACATTGCCTTCTCTGATTAACCCTCTCTAGATAAAAATAACTTATTAATGCCTTTGGGCTTCATTCTACAGCTGTTCCTGTTTCCTCATATTCAACACTTTAAGCTACTTAAGGTGGAGAATTAAAAGGATTTTGCATTCTGTATTCTCAATCATTGAATTAGCCTATCTTGGGTAGCAGATCACACAATTATGACTGTAATGACCAGGGTTCCAGGTTTTCTTTGATACCTCTATTTTAAATTCTCTTTGTCCCTTTATAGTCAACCTCCAGATGGATAATTACTTCCAACTTCACATTCAGAAAATATTGGTATTGTGTTGATTGACATAAATCACAAGCTACATATACTTCCAAGAAAAGAACCAAGTCATTTCTTGTCTGGAAAAGAATCAGGCTTCAGTGTCTGACTCTCCTTAAATAATGCGTAGGATTTAGATGAAAGTACTATGTGTCTTGGGTGGTTTAAATAATTGTTAGGGAGTGGAATTTCTGTAGAATGGAGGGGCAGATATAAAATTCAGACACATGAGGTAATTTAGAGGAACACTGCGATTAAAATTTTAGTGAAAAATAAAATAGAAAATTTCTCTAAGCCTTTTTTGGCTTAAAGTTCTAAGCTGAAGAAATTTTTATTTTTTTGTAGTCAATAGTAAATAACCGAATAGTCAATAGTAAATAACTGGGGAATAAGATAGAAAATTCAAAGAATATGGAAGAGAGCTTGAAGATCATCTTCTCTATATCCCTGATCTTATTGATGAGGATATTGAGGCCTATAGAAGTAAAACAACTAGCTCAAAACCACATTAAACAGCTTATGTCTTATATTAGCTTTATTATGTATTCTTAGGCTTTAGATATCTTATTATTCTCTTTAGAAATTCTTAAGTAACTCAACTATAAATGGGGTAGGGAAAGATGCTTACATTTTGAATGGTCTTCAAATAGAAACATGCATTTAAACTTTCCATCTCACTGTGAAGCTTTTAGCCAAACTGAAAGACTGATTTGTTGCCATTCCTCTAAATTTGCTACATGCATTTGAAGCACTTTATAATAGAATGAAGCTGATTTCAGAGTTCTGGTGCCAAAATATTTCAGGGAAAAAAATCAAAGATGAGTTTCCACCTCTTTACAAAATTGCATAACTGCAGCTTTATTCTTCCATCTTCATTGCAAATATTTAATCAAAAAACAAATGTCATCAGCTAAAGAGTGCGATTGATTTATTGTTAAGGCAAACAGGAGTCTAGATAAGTCAAAGCTGGTGAACAGGTTCATCTTTATTAGGTGTGAATACAAGCCCAATCTTGACAGTTGTTACTAGACCCCAAGTTAAATGAGATATCTTTATTCTAAAATCACATTTTTGTGGATGCGTTTTTATTTGCAGTTTTTTCTTAAAAATGCCAGTTTACTAAAATTGCCCTTCAGATGTATCTCTTTCGACGAATGTATGAGTAAATTGATGGAAAATATTAAAGCAAAGGGAGACATAACGGAGGTGAAGCACAGAACGTTGTCTTAAACTGTTTTTCTCCTGGTTATTTGTAAACCTCTCAATGTAAGAGAACACAAGCAATTAAAATAATTAACCCCTGAGATTATTTGACCCATGCTAATATCACTAGAATTAATTGCATATATCTGCACATTATGTACTTTCTAAAATACTTAAACATTCTATTAATTAAATAAATGAATTAAATCATGACATCTTAAAGTATTTGACAGTACAAATCTCAGTTCCCAAATTCTTTAACTCCCTGAAATCTTGAGACCTGCAGCCTGAATAGAATTTAGATATTCTACAATTTACTTCTGAAGAAAACGTTCGGTAATTCTCTCCTTCAAGCCGCCAAACTATGGGAAGGACAGGAAGGGTCAATAGCAGTGAGCGATATGGTTGTTTAAGAAACTAGCCACGGACCAGCAGAGCCTGCGAAAGCGCGGCTGTGTGACGACAAGGTTGTTGATGCCACAAGCCTGTGAGTGGCAGCAGGCAATATGCCAAACCAAGGGACCCGCTTCGCCAAGGGCTGACGCTGAGCTAAGGCTGATTTCCCTTCTGCCTCCCGGGAACTCTGGTCCTCGCTGGCGTTGTCAGGAGGATTCTTTGCCCTAATTATCTGGAGAGGAAGACGCGCCTTTCCCGGAGACCGCTAGGCAACACTCACCACGGCAGCCTGCAGATTACTTCCCTCCGTGGGTGTGTGACTTCGTCTAAGCAACTCACACTTACAGTAGATTCTCACTGGCGAGGCTGCGAGCACAGAGGGGCGGGGGAGCTGGGAAGAGGAGGAGGGAAGGAGGGTGGGAGGCGCAGAGCAGGGAGGCAGCGGAGACGCCGGAGCTCCAGACACAGCAGGAGCGCGCTGTGGCGGTGCAGTTTCAAGCTCGCCTTCGCAGCCGCGCACACACCGCCTCCTCGCTGAGCAGCGGGAACCGCAGCAGCTCCGTGCCGCCGCAGCCCAGCTCCGCGCTCCTGCCCGCTCACTGCCGTCAGTACCGCCCCTCGTCAGCACTCAGCCCGCAGCTATTTCCTTCTGCCAGCCTCTTTGAACTCTTTGGATCTTTGCCTTTGCTCGCCTCTCTCCTCTTTTTTTTTTTTCCTCACCCCATATTTTCTCAACTCCTCTCTCTTTATCCTTTACCACCCTGATTTTCTTTTTATTGGAAATTTCATCTTAAGATGACTTGCCTTCCTTAACCCTCGTCCATTTCAGCATTGAAGACTGAAAAGGAACATTTCCCTCCCCTCCGGTGGCATTTAAAAATCGCAATTCTTCAAAAGTCTTAAGAGGCAAAGGAACAGGACGCAAGACCCTCCCGGCACCCTTGATTGAGCCCAGTCAAGAACAGTTCTAGCAATCGGAGCTGGCGTTTCATTGAATCCTACTGAGGGGGAAGGCGAAAGAAACCAGAAGCAAACTTCAGCTGTCTCCGCGGGTCTGTGGTTCCCGCATTTAGAAGAGCCGCGTGCCAGAAGGCATAGGAACCCACGGGGGACGCGGAGGAGCCCCGAGTCTCCCTCGTCCATTCCTTGAGGACAGAGGTGTGGACTGAGGCGCGCGGGACAACAGCGGCAGAAGAGGGTAGGAGAAGATGCGGGGCTCCCGGCCCCGGGGTGCGGGACGCCGAAGGCCCCCGGGCGGCTGCGGCGGCGACACCCTCCGTACCCCTGCGTCTCTGGCCGGCTGCTACTCCGCACCTCGCAGGGCCCCACTCTGGACGTGCCTTCTCCTGTGCGCCGCGCTTCGGACCCTCCTGGCCAGCCCCAGCAACGAAGGTAAGGAAATGGAGGTGGGGGCCGCAGCCACCTGGGGTGGAGGGGTGAGGCGGGGCCTGGGGGAGCCGGTCACGGAGCTTTAGAAGCGGCTGCCGCGGACTAAATCCTTCTCCTCATGTGGATTTTGTATTTGTCGTCCGGTTTCGTTGGCCTTTCATTCCCTCTCCGCTGTCTTTGGTTGCATTGTTTGACATTAGCTGAGGAGTGCCGGGGAGGAACCTGATTGTGGACCCAGGCTGATGGGGGGCGGGGAAGTTGAAAGCCAGGAGGAAAGAGGGGTCTGAGACCCGCGCTGGGAGGTTGGGTGCGGCTAGATCTCCGAGCGCCTGGAGAAGTGTCATTTCGTTTAGTGAGAAAAGCAACGACAAGAATTTCAGGACAGGTGGAGCTTTTTAGAAACCGTTATTTGATGTTGATGATGGGAAACGTTGTAGGGGTGGCTTTTGCTTTTTGATTTGGGGGAAAGTGCCTGCTGGGAGCTGTTATTTAGGGCATCACCAGATGCTATTCTGGGGTGGGTGGCAAGAGCTTTTATTTCTTGAAGGAGGATGGCAAAGGACAAAAGGCACCCCTACTTTAGGGCGCCCTTCATTCGGGGGTGGTCTCACTGTCACACTCAAGCGAAGGTAGAAGAAGGCGGGAAGGTGGGATGCCGCGGCAGAAAGGAGAGAGGAGTATAGCTGCTAGAAGTTGCTTCTGGAACCCACCGCGGCTTATCTCATAGAGGTAAAAAGACTTGCTTCAGCAAGCATGAGATCCTGGTGCCTAGGTCTCCTTACCTACCCTCATTTTTGCGCTCCGGACCAGAAGATTGTCCCCGCCTTCTTCTGAGAGAGTAAGGCCGGGCGCGGAAGCAACACTTGTGTCGCTCTGGATGCCCCTGGAGCAGTGCTCAGCCCACCCAGTGCCAGCCTCTTCACCCTCAGCCCTCCGCCCTCCTGTCGCCTCCAGCTGGGCTAGCTCCTCTTTCACACCAGCACTATGCTCGGGTCTCAGCTCAAGGGAGCATTCCGCGCGATGGGGGATGTGAGGGTGTCCAGAGCAGCGAGCATCTCTGATCCGGATCAGGGATACCAGGATCGGTCATCACGCAAATTCAAAATCTAAATAAAATAAATTTTAAAATAAAATAGAAAACTCTGTCCCTTATTTGGAATGCTGGGGTTTTGGTTTGGAGCTGTGGATGTGAAGCCTGACGCGCAGAACCTTAAAGAAATTCCTTCCACTCCTGGGGCAGAAGAAGCTGGACCGGAAAGATGAAGCAGCAGCCGAGAGTCGTGTGTGTCCTCGTGACTTGCACGGGTTCAGTCTTGGCTGTAGGAGAACGCGCTGAGCTGGTATCCTATTGCTGCCAGCTTCCAAAGAACCTAGCGAGAGCTTGGCAGATCGAGACCCTCACCCCCCACCCCAGGAACTTTGCCTCCTTAACCCTATGCTTAGTTTTTTTTTTTTTAAATATGATCAAAGGAGTATATATATCCATCGATAGATATGGATACATATATATGTAATCTCCCATGATTAAGCCAAGCAATATGTATTTTCCCTTCCTCATGAAGTTGAAAAAGTGTTTTATGAAGTCTTGTAGACCTTTTACTAACGTCTTATGCTAGATTTATTGGGCTAAAAGTGTTAAAGATTCTAACAGGGTTATGGGTCCTTTTAACTGTCTTATTCCACGAAAAGGAGCATCCTGGTTAGACCTAAAAGAGTCACCCTTTCGTTTTTTCCATTTTAATTTCAAGTCTTTTACTCTATGTGTGTTGAAGGAGCGGAATTGAGGTAGAGTACAGGTAGTCACTGTTAGAGAACAGAAAGAAGTGAATTCTCAGAGTGATGGGATCAAGTGGGATAAAGGACTACGATTATGGGAAGAGGAAAAACAGGGAGAAGGAAATAAATGAAAAGGAAGCAAGAAAGTAGCACCAGTTTCCTAATCTGGTGTAATGTTCTGGAATGGAGACTGACTCACTTTAGATTTCATGTCCACAGGTTGTATGGTCTTACCCAACTAGTAGAACACATAGCGAACTTGAGCTACAGTGAGATAAGGGTTGGAGAGGGGGTCCAAAAAAACTAAGCAGTACTTTACCCTCCAGTCCTCTGAGGACACAAGAAAAAACTGTGCCTGTTGTTTGGGACACATTTTGTGACATATACATAATTTTATGTTATACATACTTAGAAATAAAATTTTATTGCCATCAGTCTTATCTAATTTATCCCATCTTTGCCAATTTTCCATCATTCCTTTAGTATCATCTCAGACCTTTATTTTGCTTCTATGAAATCCAGTCTTCCCTTTTGGTTTTCCATGTTAGTGTTATTATAAATGTATTAAAATATTTGTAGCAGATTGTTTTATTTAATTAGTGAGTCAGATTAGAGTTTTTCAGTTTGGTTTTGTTTCAGGATGAACTTTGAAAGGACAAGGACAGAAAGAATTGATGTACACCCTAAATTCATTAATAACTTGCTCTCATATAATTTGCTCTTACAACCTAATACAGATGTTTAGTAATTTAAAGAACTGTTGTATATGAGTGTGTGTGTGTGTGTGTAAAGAAATAAATGTGACTTTACATTCAAAATTGGTATTTCTGTCATTATTAGAATTTAACTTTAATAGATTTAAATAAGCAGGCTTGAACAGAAAAAGCCAAACTTGTATCTAAAATCTTGGATTGATGTTAAATTTATTTATTTAGAATTTGTTGATTAGCAGACAATAGAAGGAAAATCTATTCTTTAGCACAAATTCTAAGCAATTTACTAGGTAATTATATCTTCAGTTATCTTTTTACAGATATAAACTGTAAGTGGAAGAAACCTTCAATCTGTTGTACAATATAAAAATTTTTATCATAGAATAGTTCAGAGACATAATTACCAAGAGACTTGCCTCAGATTGATCAAGCAGGACACTATTACCAAGTGTATCAATGAGAAAATTTTAACAAATTAAAGGCGGAAGTCCATGCTTATGAATTTTTGGAGGTGGCCCTGAACTTATTCAGTAACTGCCATTTTTTTGCTGTCTGGAGATATATTTGTAAACAAGCATTATTTGACAAGTGCTTTTCTCAGCAGGGATTCTTGGCCAATTACTGCTGAACAGCTCTGCATTGAAAATGATTCACCCGCAGTGAATCAAGCTTAATTCATTGAAGCTGTAGTCTAATGTCCCAGTAAAGTGCTTCTGACAGTTGTCAGCAGTTTGTATTTGAAAAGTCCAGTTTCTTGTCTCCAAATGTTTTGTATGTTCGAGAAAGTGGGATGGAGGTGTTCTGGGAAAAGAAACACATAAGGAAGGGGGAGGCTGAACTGCTTGATAGACAATCAGAAAATTGTAAATGTTTTCACTGAAAAGAGACAGGAGGAAAAGTTTGTTTTAGACTGTTTCTTGGTTTATAATAGGACCAGGCCCATAAAACAGATTGGAGGACATAATAGATTTGTAAAACTAAATGGCTTTATTTTGTGGCCTTGTCCTTCTGTTGTAATTCATTTCCTTTTAGATAAACCGGCAGGACCCCACAGAAAAAGGACAGTAAAATCACTCCCTCACCAGGACACTACTGAACAAGAAAAGAGAGTCATTACCCCTATTTGAATCATAGATTGTTGGAACCAGAAGGGACCATGAAAAGTTTGGGCTTTTCACTTAATAAACCATGAAAAGGAGGGCAGGAGGAGGCTGGGTCTTGACATTTTAAGCTCTTTCTTGGAGGCCAGGGTGACAGGTAAGAGGATTTCATTTCTTCATGTGAAAAAGAAGAGGGTACACAATTCCTGATTTTACAATGGAGATTTCTTCTTGATTGGACATTTCCTTGTAATTTTATCACTGGTAAATATTATTAAGTCTTTATTCTAATTAACATAGGATCTAGTTGTTCTGGGAAAAGAGTTCACTTCCTAATATTTAGAAATGCACTATTTACCATTTTTATATTATTACTACACTCTACAAAATGTAACCATTTACAATGTGTGTATCTGTACATAAAATATCAAAATAAACCATTAGCTATTTATAGATAAGCATTCCCAAATTATGTAATGAAATATTTTATTAGTATTACCCATTGATGAGAAAATGAATGTGCTTTTGTTTTTCCACTATACTTTTGCTGTTTGATACCACCACTTGAATCTCCTTTGTTTGGAGTGCATTTTATGTATTTGAAGCTTGAATAGCTAAATAATTTCTCTCATTTGGAAAAAAAAAAAACCCTCTACCTTTGAATGTAAAAATACACAAAAATATGCATGAGTATATAAGTTAAATATAGCTATTTTTCCTTTTCTGAGTCAAATTTAATGTTCTTATTAAGAAGAAATATATGCTGTTTATTTTTGAAGAAATAACTACTTTAAAAAGTATTTATAACTTCTTATGCAATATCTTTTCAGTTTAAATTAGCAGGTATTATTATACTTTAAGTGGATAGCTTGAATTTAAGTTAGTGAAGGTGCTTAATAATTTGGAAATTGTTACAGCATTTTTGAGAATCCTAAAATAGTTTTACAATGATTTTCATAAAGCATCAGAATTAACTGAATATCAAACTGCACATCAGAGTATGAATATCAGACTTTACTTATTAATTGTTAACATTTGATTGCAGTATTTACCTTTACTTTTTCTTTTCAGAAAGACTAAATTATGGTTATAAAACTAGCATGAAAGTTAAAGCTGTAAATTGTTACCTTTAAACTCAGAATGATTTTTACTGATCTAAGTATGTCTAGTGAGTATATTTATCTCAGTAGGGGTGAAATGGCTCCTACCAATATGTCTACTAGGTCTATACATATTTAGCTATTTCTTTCAAAATTTATATAATCAATAGAATAGGTAGAATTTCTCAGGAGTTATTCTAGTCTGTTTTATACATATACACACTTAATGAAAGTTAATTTATATTAAAGAATTTATCATATGTTTTATCCCAGTCTAATGTAATTAAATATAGTACATATTTATACAGATTATG